ACATCCCCTTTAACATAAGGTGTGTTTTTGATCTTAGCCATTCTGAAAGATATAAGATGGTATCTCAGAGTTATTTTGATTTGCATTTCCCTGAAAACTAAAAGTGTTGAACATTTTCTTAAATGTCATTCAGCCACTGAAATTCTTCAACTGAGAATTCTGTTTAGATCTGTACCACATTTTTTAATTGGATTGTTTGGTATTTCTTGAGCTCTTTATATATTTTGGATATCAGCCCTCTGTCAGAAGTGGTATTGGTGAAGATCTTTTCCCATTCTATAGGCTGCCATTTTAAACAGGTCCTGATATGTAGTTTAGGTTGGCCTTGAATCTCATAATTCTCCTGCCTCAGCTTTACAAATGCTGGAGTTACAGATGTGTAACAAGCGACTACTATGTTTAGATCTTTAAAATGTTCTTTTAACAATACCTTGTAGTTTCAAGAGCATAAAATACACTTGCTTTCTTTTAAATTCCAAAATATTCTTCTCTCTGTAGCTAAAGTAAATGGAACTGGTGTCTTGGTTTCATTTTCAGATTGCTCATTGCTAATTTAGAAAACTATAATCAATTTTTTTATCCTGCAACTTTGCATAACTTATTTGATAAGTGGATTACTATAATTTTTGACATAAAAGGTCATAGGCATTTGAAAATTGAGAGTGCTACTTCTTTCTTTCCAATCCTGATTACTCTATTTTCTTTCCTTGCCCTGAGTAGAACCTTCCAGACAACATTGACTAGAAGAAATAGGAACATCATCCTTGCACATTTCTGGTTTTAGAAAAAAGGATTCAGTCCTTCATCCCTGAGTCTGAGGGAAGATATGGATGTCTTTGCCAGACCAGAGGGATTTCCTGTTAGTCCTACTTTGCTGAGCTTTTCTCAGCTGTTTTGCTATGTGTTGTATCAGGAGAGGTTGGTGAGCTTCTGACATGCCTTTACCGTCCGGGAGATGTTCATGTGGGGCTTCTCTTTTCTTATTCTATTGATAAAAGCATACTGTGTTAGTTAAATGACGCTAAAGATAAAACAAAACTGAATGCAAAAACAGGATAGGATAGAAAGGGTGTGAATGTTAAAGAGCCAGTGTAGGAAACTCAGCATCGAGACCCAGGCTTCTGATAGAGCAGGCAGGGATGGAATTAACAGAAGAGTAGCCTAAGAAAATAGTTCAGAGAGGAAGGAGATGCAATTTAAAGGGATCCATCATGTGATCAGCATAGTGGCTGAGCACACACCCACCCCAAGCACGATCACACAAAAGGTCAGAGTACTAGAGATGTAGAGAGTATTTCGTCTCTGCCTACCTATTTGTGTGGCTGCTGGAAGAAATATGCAATCTGAATCATTGTTTTCTTAAGGTAAGATTTTAACTCACTCCTCTGGCTTCTTTGCAAGTTTTTTTTCTTTTGTTTTTGTTTGTTTGCTGTCTTTGATTTTCTGCAGATTCAAAATGTACTTTGGTATGACTTTGTTGGTACATACGACACTTTTTTTTCTTGAAAATACTTGAAAGAAGATGACTTCTTGGCAACTGGTTGAAAACAGCGTGGTGAAAACACGGAGCTGTGCCAGCTAATTCTAGATCGGAAGAGTCTGTGTTAATCTGTGAACAGTGAGTAAAGAAAGGGTCAAAGACTCTTTTAAAACGCAAAGTTTATTTTTATATTGCAAATGATGAATCCTTGACAAGCAGCCTTCCAAGGCTGACTTGAAAGGGCTCTATATAAACGGTTATACCGTACCCCTCGTAGATACCTTTCAGAAACTGCAGTCATTGAGTTCATTATGAGAGACAGTAATTGTACGTTGGCTGAGGAAGAAAAGACCAACATATCATATATAAATTCACAAAGGGCTGGAAACAATGAAGTGATTCTGATGGTAAGCTATCGACAATGATGATTCATGTGAACAATTCAAATCAATCTGTCTGGTGAAATGATCAGTTTAAAAACGGGAAGCAAGGTGAGCATGCCATTCCCAAAGGCTAATACCACGATGGAATTATACCTGTAAACCAAGAACACCTGACCAAGGAAGTCCTTCCCCTTGTCCATCATTTTCCCTTTCTTCTTAGCACTGAAGGCTCTGAACGCTTTCTATGTATTGGCTTCCACACACAATAACTATCTCCCTCCCAGAACGCAAGCCCAAGGAGGCTGGGGTCTGCAGTCTCATTGGTAGCTGAGGGCATCTCGAATGTTGCTCAGTGCCTCCTGTGTCGTGAGTTTTCAGTCAAAACTAAAATGAGGGAGAGTGAATGAACGAGCACCCAGTAGGGCCAGTAAACAAGGTACATCATACGAGTCTTCCTCAGAAACTTAGGATCATCTTCTGATCACTGGGAGAAAAATGTATTTCCATAGAACAACTCCTGCAATTGATAAGTGCTTAGGGTGAACCTTGGTGCCCGAACATTCTTATTCACTGACTACAGTCACGGTAGAGTTGTAGCCCTCAGCAGCTGCAGAGCAAACATGGTCCGCTGCACAGGTGGTGTTTGAGCCTGGCACACTAAACAACAATGAGCCAGAAAACGGAATGGTGTGATGTATTTATGCAGTAACTGTCTTAAAAGATTTCCCTCCAGAGGGCAATCGGATCTGTTACTTTGAAGTCAGGTTACTTAGAGCCTCACTTTATTTGGAATGCTTCAATGGCTCCACGCTGACTGTGGAGAAATCTAAAACTTCTAGCACGGGAAAAAAAAAAGCCCCTCCACAGCATACGTAGCTGATTGCTCTCTCCCAGTACCCAGTTTCTCATTTGTGAGCCAGGTTCCAGCAAATAGGTTCTACTCCAAAGGAGGTAAGCAGCTATTTCTTCCTCCATAGCTTAGCTTAGACACCCTCCTCTCCTGATCCACACTTGGTTAAGATTCCACAAAACCTTCCCAAGCATCCTTACGAAGGAGAGACCTCCTGCCCCATCTCCCCTTCCAGCTCTCTGCTCTCACGAGTCTGACCCCTTAGGATAAAGCCTCTTACAGAGCCCCTGATCTCCCATTCCATTTGCCATAAATAGAAAAAAATAGCGTCCCCAGCTACTCAGTCTGCTTCTGATTTCACTCACGTGTCTGTCCAGAGGTCATCGCCAATGAGAGATTATCTTTGATCACCCTGATAGATGCGACTCCTCCCCTTCTTGTTTCCCTAAAAGAACTACCCTGCTCAATAGAAGGAATATAAGCCTTAGTCTACTTTTTCCTTGTAGTAGTGATGTGATATGATACTACATACTTATGTATTATATAATGTATGTATTTTTTTCCTTCTAGAAATATAAGGTTTATGAGCATGGGACTTCATTTTACTTATCACTATGCTTGTGAACTATGAGTGAATGTCTCTGTGTCTCATCACACACTTTGCCTTGCGATTTCTGCTTTCTCTGCTGGACAGCAGGGATGTATACTGTTCATCTTCGTTTCCAACTCCTTCCTAGTTCTTTAAAGTAAGCTGAAATACTGTGATACTCCTCATATGACTGAGTGACATCAACTGTAATTACCCGCTTACAGTCAGTTCTCAAGAAAGGGTTTCTGAATCCATGTACTGCAAAAGCCCAGGAATACAATTATATTTCCATTGATGCTTATCAGAAATTCTTAAGACCATACGTACTTTAAAATTCATCATTCTCACTTACCACCCTTAAAAAGTGCCTTGAAATCATATACATTCACAGTTCTGCTACAGAGTTATCTGAGAAGTCCCATTATCGCGATAAATCATGCTCAAGTCAGCTGAGGCTGCCAAGTCAATCGTGATGGCAGACTTTAAGAGCATGGGGTTTTGGAATTGCGGCCATGTTCTGTCATGGAGTCCTGTGAAGTGTCTCCATGCTAAGTGCCCCATTCATCACAACTGAGAAAGCTGGGAATGACTTATTTAATGTGTTGATTTAAAACATCTTTAAAAATATGGATGCCATTTTCATGTGTGCATTAAAATATGAATGTAAAACTATTTGCTTTATTTTCCAGATGAACAAACTTGGGCTTAGAGAGGATTTGAGCCACTTGCTTTCACAGTTAGTAACAGGCTAAGCAGCATCTAAACCAAAGCCACATGCTGGATGATCTCACCATCCTCATGTCACATGACACAGGTTTTTCTTTTTCTTTTTGAATTCTTGCCAGGTTTCTTTGTGATGGCGAATCTAAGGAGAGCTCTGCAATTCAAGAAAATGTGAAGAATCCTGAGGAGACAAGTCCCTCTTTGTAAAAACAGGCTAGTTCTATGTAGCCAACACTTAGTTGGTAATTTAATGGAAGATTTACTTATTCATCTGTACCAATGGTAGTGGTGGGGTTATGCAGAGCATCCTGGAACTTATGTAGCCCAGGCTGGTCTTGAATTCATACTTTTCCTCACGCCTTAGCCTCCTGTGAGCTGGAATTACAAATGTGTACAACCACACCCAGCTCCAATGTTTTGGATGTTTGTAAGAAGAGATCAAGTGATTTCAGATACTTAGTAAAATATATAGGCACAGTTACTTGCTCTGGTTTCCTCTGCAGAACCATGACCTTCAGGTCTCAGGTCTGCTGTCCCCTGAAAGACTAAAGAAGGGAGGAGGGATTGTCAAAAGGCACTAGGATAGAAGAACGGAGACCGCGTCTTTTTCAAGAACACTGTAGTTGACTGACTGTTTTACAGCTAAGCAGAAGCTGACAAAATGGAGATGCGATGAGACAAACCTGAAAGTGGTTCGTAATCACCAGATATCACAGTGGCATTCAGCAGTCAATAATCTAAGAGCAATAAAGCTAAATATTAAGCAACCCCTACACAGGCCTAGGGCTACGGCTGAAGACTCAGTCTGGACCTTATCACACTTGTGGGAAGGCCTCATGGTATGAGCTATGCAGCAGAAAGAAAACAGCAGCAGCAGCAACAACAACAACAACAACATACAGTTACTTTACATATACAGCAGATAAATATAAGGACGAGGTATAAGAAATGAAAATAACATATACACTAAAAACATCCCAACGAAAACGGGCTTTATTTAAACCAGACAAGTGAATTCTTCCATTAGCATCAACTCCTTCAAGACTCGAGGATATGGAGATGAAAGGTGGTGCTTCTCAAGGCAGAGAGGTGATGACTGACCAAGGAGTAACTGCATTGCCCTTCAGAAAGCCCTTGCAAGGGTACCCTCAATCCAGAAGACGGTCAGATCTTGTGTGACAGTGTGTGTACAACACCCTCATTTGAAAGTGACCCATCTATCTTAATGAAAATCTTTCAGAAGGAAGTGTCTGCATATGTGAGTATCATAAATTACTTTTAAGTTTTAGAAATGAAATAAAATACAAATCTCGGTTTAAATACTAAAACAGAAATTAAAAAAAGAAAACCTTAACATTATTCCTCATGCTGTCTTCTTGTTACAGGGCTCCTGGGTACAAACACGAACAAAGCACTCATTTCTGACACCTCAACTGACGACCTCCCTAAATCTAGTGTGACCAAATGAGCTATGGGAGCCCCTCCAAACTTTCATAGGGATCTGGTGCCATTCATATGCCATACGTGAATGAGGACGTCTGATGACAGACTACTTCAACTTAGTGTAGAGTAAATCCAACGAAACGTTATAGCTAGGAGGGGTAAGGAGACAAAGATGAAATTGCATATCATGTTCAGTATCTGCCACTTCCACCAACCCTTCCCTTTAAAGTCTTCTCACTGCGGTCACAGTTTTAGAACGTTAGATTATGTGTTTAACTTTGTGTTGAGTTGGTCAGCACCTTCATTGACACGAGCAATTACAACAAGCAAAGCATATAGATAAGAGGGAGACCACAGGGAACAAAAACGGGAGGACTTCTTTTTGTCCTAAGACACTGAAACAGAAAGAATAAAGAGAGAGAGAGAGAGAGAGAGAGAGAGAGAGAAAACAAACAAAGTGTTCACAGTGCAACATGCCAGATTCGTAGTTTCATTTGAAACCAAGAGCAAATCATGAAACATCATGAAAAAATATAAGTAAAGGTAGAATCTCCTAGAGTAATTACTAAATGAAGTTAAAATTACCACACTGATCAGTAAACCCCAGAAGAAAAATGGACAGCGCTTTCAATTCAGGCCCCTCTTGCACATCACACAACTTTTCAAAGTTAATGCATGAAATTGGTAACTTTGGCCACGCTGCACAATTTCTTTTTTTAAAAAATACAGTATACAGAAAAAAATTATTATATTCCCCATCTTGTATCATAAGCTTGAAACCTAAGAGCAAAAAATTTTCAGTTATTTACAAATACAGCAGGTTCATCCACCACAGTGGCTTGGCTTCTGTCCCAAGATGTCACCTTCTCTGGCAGTGTCTGTCAGTCCTCTGTCCTCATCGGAGGCTGCTTCATCTACTGCGCATCCGTCATTTTGAACAGTTCCAACAGGGCCCCAACTGCTCCAAAATAACCCTATAAAACAGTGGAGAACTTCTGTAGGATTGTTTCTGAGCTTTAGCCAAGAACTATTACTGTCACCAATTCTAAGAATGCTGCCCTTAACTTTACAGGTGCATAATATTAAAGGCAGAATTCATCGCTGGGGATACGGGTTAGAAACAGGACCCGGGTTTAGCATGATCGAGGCTATGCAGTTGACCTGCAACACAAAACAAATGCTGATCTCTTTGTAAAAGGGATTGAGTGATCAAATAACTATAATTTATCTGAATGCATATTTATCTATATTAATATAGGAAAGTGCTTAGGGCTATATCTGGCATAAGATGTCAATGCCTCCCTGTAAAACAGGAGCTCATATTTCTATGAAAATGAAAGTTTCTGAAACTCAGCTGCTTTAGGAAATAGTGTTTTAGTCATTGAACTACTAAATGCAACAAAATACCGAAGACTAGGCAGCTTATAAACAACATAACTTCATCTCCTAGCTTTCTGGAGACGGGGCAGTCCAAAATCAAGGTGTTTGTCCAAGCCAGGCTCCTTGCAGACTGCTGTGTCACTGCAAACTGGCATTGCAATGGGGGCCTCTCTTATAAAGATGCTAATTCCTTTCCAAAGAGCTCAGCCCTCTGATCCGGACACTTCCCCAAACCCTCAATGTCTACCATCTTGGGGGTTAGGATTTCAGTGTGTGAAGGTGTGGCGTGGAAACCATACAAATACTGAGTCCACTAGCTACCTAGTCTCCAGAGGGCTAGAGACACAGCTCCTCGTTCGCCTGGCTCAGCAGTTCCCTTAGAGATGGCACAGATATGCCAGGAACTTTATTGCGGCTGCTGTGCCCTTCTCACGAGCTAGATTCTGAGCACTTTCCATGTGTTAAATCATCTCATCGTCAATCACGGGGCCGTCTCTTCAATGTACCGCCTTCACATGTGTTGGAATACTACACAGCAGTGTGGCTGCTGGATCAATTAACTCTACTTTTAGTTCTCTAAGGAATTCTCCACACTGTTTCCCACGATAGTTAAAATAACCCATCATTCACATTTCCAAATGACATCTTGTTTTCGTTTCAGGAACCGTCTTCAAGTCTCCACTGTTGGCTAAGAAAGCTTCCACTGTACAAATGACTTATTTTATTTTATTTTTTTGGAGGGGGGAGTAATAAACACAAAGTTTAAAAGGCTTATTTCCTTCTGGATCCATTTTGAAATACACAGATTTGACTCGTATTGTTAGACAACTCAAAATACATGTAGGACAATTAAGTCCCCGTGAGCCTGACCTACCTCATGTTCCAAAAACAGTGCTTTCAGTTGTCCTTTAGACCAAAAGTCCATGGCATATGCTAGCAACTTCATCGAGACCATATTGATTCTGAGAAAGTTCCCAACAAATACTACTTTGTCAATATTCTGAAAGAAAAAAAAAACCATGAAAACAATTAGACCATGGCTTAAGACAGCATTTAGTAAGGACTCAATGTTCTGTGTGCGGTTGTATATGACCCCTCTCAGTCAATGCTTGTAAACAGAACTATTTCAGCATCTCCCAAATCAAAGTTAAACCAACAGAGTATCCCATAGAACAGAAGGGTCAGACTCTGACTGGGCTATGCTGGCTTTTTGGTTAACATGACACAAACTAGAATCAGCTGGGAAGAGGAACCTCAACCGAGATGCCTCCATCAGACTGGCCTGTAGGCAGGCCTGGGGGGGGGCATTTTCATGACTGATGGTTCAGCTCACTACGGGTGTTGGGTGTTGTGTATGGCTTGTACAAGGCTGAGCATGTCAGCATCAGTAAGTAGCATTCTTCTTTGGTCTCAGCTTCAGGCCTCACCTCCAGGTTCTTGCTCTGCTTGTGTTCCTGCCTTGGTTTCCCTCAATGATGGAGTTTGATTAGGAAATGAAGGCCCAGTAAATCCTTTCCACCCCAAATTGCCACCACATGAACTTTATCACAGAAACAGACTGCAAACTAGGGCATGGGCAAAGCAGAGATCATAATGAACAGGTCGTTTGTTATTGTTTATAGTTACTATGCTAGGCTGCATTAGGTCGGATATATCTTCAGTTTACAACATGGAATTGAAGTTAGAGTTAAATTTGTCCCTCAGTGCCCCCATCCCCAAACTCCAAGTATAAAATACTACTTCAATTAACTTACAAATGAAAAGAATGGCTGCAGTGTAGTTTGTTCATCTGCTAAGTTTGGGATATAAAAAAGAAACAATATCCATCTCAACCCTCAAGAGTAGAATATCTTGTTTGAGCAACTGAAGGGTTAAAATACGGTAACAAAAAGACACAGCATGGATGTAGGCTTTCATTCTGAACCCACTCTGATGAACACTCCTCTCATTCTGTGCATGCAGACAGGCTTCAGACCACCCAAGACTCCCATTCCTGCAGCTCTTCTCGTCTTCCCTTACGTATTTCTGAAGCTAAAGACTGAGCTCAGCTTGCCTACCATGCAGATGCTGGACCAAGGCCAGTTGTCATGGTCACTCAGATAAAAGGCACAAAAGGCTTGGACAGTTATTTGTGCACTGTCTACCAGGAGTGATTAAGGTCCAGGAGCATCAACTTTGAAATGTCTCAAATTTTAACAATGTATGTTCATGAAGACATTAGTCACTGGAAATATTCCATGGGTAAAGGACTCAGAGGTACTTTCAGAATCTTTCCATTAGAAATAAAGTCTGGAGCCAAAACCTAACCAGGCTACAAACACTCAAGATAAAGAAAGAACACATCAAAGAGGAATTTAACTAAATTTAGGGGACACAAATAGAATTCTTGTATCACCCTACTAGGAAGACAGATGGAGCAGAGTCAGTACTAAATTCTGACAAGCATTTCATATTTCAAATAAAGGCCTGGTGGGTCAAAATTACAATTGTTTGACAAAGAAGGAAAATGAGAGGTGACTAAGGAAAATAAATATAAGCAGACTCTTCTTAAGAGCAATGCAAGGTTAGAGAGCTAGCTCAGCAGCTAAGGGTGCACGCTGCTCTTGGAGAGGACTAGATTTTGGTTCCCAGTACACACACAAGGCAATTCATAACTGCCCATATTTCCAGCTTCAGGGCATCCAATGGTTCTGACCTCTGCAACCACCAGTACTCATGCGCACATATCTACATGGACAGATGCAAACACACACATAATTGAGAATAATAAAAAATAATACTGAAGTAAAAGAGGTGTGATACTTAGAGTCCAATAAAATTGATTTGTTTACTTGAAAAGTTATCTTCAGCACATATCAAATGAAATGATTTGCTAATTAATAAAGAGTTCCTGCAATCTGAAAAGAAGGCAGGACCAACTATTCAATACACAATGGGTGAACAGTCTGTTAATAGACTATTCACATGTGCAAAAAAAGGGGAATTACTGGGCCAGCAAGATGGCTCAGTGGGTAAAGGTGCTTGATGTTAAGCCTGATCACTTGAATTTAATGTCACGAGTTGTCCTGACATGGACCAGAGTATGTTTGCACCCAAACACATAGACACACACCGAAACACACACATACGTGTAATTTATGAAACTTTTAAAAGGGGAAAACACAATAGTGATTAAATATATGAAAATACATAACCACTTACATTAAGGTACAATTTCTTTTCTATTAGATTAAAAAAATTTTTTAAAGGTTAACAGTCCTCTTAGAAATTTATATATTTTGCTTAGTGAATAATTAATTATTATCTAACTTAGTGGAAATTAGAACTATGTTTATGAAAGGAGTTTTATAGTGTCTGTCATAATTATAATCAATATACCCATTGATTCAGAAATTTATCTTTTTAATTACTTAAGTTACTTTGTTTAATTAATTAACTTACTTTGTTTGAGACAAGGTCTTACTATGTAGACCTGGCTGGCCTAGAAGCCACTATGTAGACCAGGCTAGCCTCAAACTCACAGAGACCTCCCTGCTTCTGCCTCTTGAATTCTGGTATTAAAGGTGTGGGCTCTCACGCCAACTAAAAATTTATCTTACAGATATACTGATATTTATACAAAATTTTATGTTGTACAAATATGTGCATAATACATATAATATATATAAACATATATATGTATGTACTGCAGGATTTTTGATAAAGCAAAAGGCTAAAAAAATACCCTAAGTATCTCTAGGATAGTGGTCAAATCTTTAATAGCATGTAGAGTACTAGACAGCTATTACAAATGCTGAAATTTGTAAATATAACACTCTCAAGACATTCTACGTAAAAAACAGTGAGAGGCATAATTCAGAGGTGCATATGTGTAGACTGATAATGGCAGAATTAAATTTCTGATGTTTAAGCTAAAAAGAGGAGTAGAAGGAGAAACAAGAAAAGAGACAGACAAGGCATATGTGGCAAAATCTTGGAAACTGCTCAGTATGAACTGATGGATACACGGGAGCCCTTTATTCTCGATCCTTCATACATGCCTAGAAACTTTCACAATAAAAACCCAAACCAACAAAGGAGGATACAGAATAGTATGTCGAAGGTGGACTGTAGAGTTTGTGATGATTCTCCAGAAGATCTGGGTTCAATTCCCACGACCCACACGTCAGATCACAACTGTGTGTAACTCCGGACCTAGGGTATCCAATGCCCACTTCTAGCCTCAGTGGGCACTACAAACAAGTAGTGCACAAAAATAAATGCAGGAAAACACTCATACACATACAAATAAATTTTTTAAAAGAATGTTCTTTAGAGCTTGATATCTTTGAAAGTCATATTTCTCCCATACCGTATAAAACACAGAAAAAAGACAAACCAAAGCTGAAAGCCTTCCTAGTGAGGCTCAAGGGGAGGTGAGTGTAGAAATAGACTTGCCTCCCTACTGCCTTTCTGCTGTCTTTGAGACTCTGCATTATCTGTTGGAAACTAAATAAAAGGTGCACCGCAGGCTGCTGGGAGAGGAATGACATCAACAGCCTTAGCTAGCAGGGGTGGACCTTGTGTGTAATGATATCGAGTGTCCAAACAAGATACAACCTTGGTGAGTCCATCGTGGGGCGACCTACTGCTTTCAGAGGGGAACAGAGGAGGAAGTTCATGTCTGGGACCACACTCCCAATCAAAACCCGCGCCTGGGGAGGTCAACAGACCCTAGTTGGGAAGCTAGTGTTCTTGCTAAAAGGACATGATGTGCCTATCAAATTACCTCCTAAATAGCTATTTGTGCCCATGGATCAGTGTTGACATCAGCTTTAGTCAGAGGAGCTTCTTTTTGCACACGCTCATGACTGGTCAAAGTGCTGAGGATAAATGGCTGCCCAATATCCAGCCATAGGGAGGAGGCATCTACAGCTCTCCCTCTAAGGCTCCAACAACAGAGAGGATGGACCAATATCGCCTTTATTGCCCTTATAAATACACCTTCACCAATGCTCCTGTTTAAAAAAAAACAACAAAACAAAACAAAACAAACCCCTAATATAAATCACTGGTTTATAAATACAAATCCTAATATAAATCCTTCCTGAGGGAAGGAGTGGGGAGTAGAGAGGGAGGTTAGGGGTCGCTTGGGAAGAGGAAGGGGACCAGTGCCAGTGGGAGAGGGTACAAGAAAGAGGAAGAGAGGCAAATACAGCCAAAACATACTGTGCATATGTATGAAATGTCATTACGAATGGATATATGCTAATGAAAAGGTAAATAAAGCTTAAAGTTGGGGGAGGGGGCTGGAGGGATGGCTCAGTGGGTGAGGGTTAGCAAGTGATGCACTTCCAGAACGCCTGAGTTTGATCCCCAGCACCCACATCAGATAACTCACAACCGCCTGTAACCCTGGCCTCAGGGGATCTACCGCCTCTGAACGATGGGTCATCTGACTCACATGTACACCACTGACGTGCATACATACACATCACTGAAAACAATAAAATCAATTTTCAAACTTAAAAAAAGAAGTTGTAAGGAGAGCATTTCATTACCCTAACAGAAAAGCAGCTCAGACTCAGGAAATGTGGTGCCCCGCTATAGGGACAGCTACAACCAAAGATGCACAAAGTTGCTGCTGCAGAGAGCACCGCAAGGCTCTCCCGGGGAAATCTGATACTGCTGATCCCCGAGCTGTCCAGAGAGCCTCCATGGGCTCAGCAGCCTCTTGGTGTCAGGGGGCAGTGAGTCAGTCAGTCCATCTGTTGAACTGCAGAGGAAACATCCAAAGTACTTGCTCACGCCAGCAAATAACATGTGCACATTTTCTAATGTGAGAAAAGAAAGGCAGTTGGCCTCTCCCAAAGGGATTGTGGTATCGGTGAAAAGACCTGGCTCACTCCAGCAGACTGCAGGGCAGAAGGTAACTCTGGAAAGCAGGGCAAAGGGCACAGCTGCTCTGTGGGGCAAAGGGTGACACTATGCAACTGACCTTTGAGAGCCATGAACACAGCCAGCCTACCCACACGTTAGTCTCCCAGCTTGTTTGGCTACTTAGAAAAACACGCTGGAAAGGTTAAAGCTCGAGAAACCCTTGTTTCCAATGAATCTCTTGACCACGGTGGATTTTGAGAAGGCATGTCTCTGGGACCTGATCACCAGCCTCCCATCTAAGCCCGTGTGGACCAGGGACCTCCAGTAAAGGCTGACTGCTCTCCAGGGGACAGAGATACACTCTACTCAGTGTTGTGAAAGGAGGGGTCTCTTTCTGTAACTACAAAGCTCAAAGTCAGGATCAGCATGAAAAGAAAACAAAATCAACCAACCAACCAAACCCAACAAGCCCACCCTGTAGTTCATCCTGGCGGGGTCTCTCCAGAGCCCTAGAGCTGCAGTTACAGGCAGTGGTGACCGCCAGGCTTGCGTGCTGGAAACTAAACTCGAGTCCTCTGCAATAGCAGCATGTGATCTTAACCCCTGAGCCATCTCTCCAGTCCCTCAAAAAGGTTTGGAGGTATCTGTGAAGTTTCCTTTATTGATCTAGGTAGTGTGTCTATGTGTGCGAGAATGTGATAGTGATGAGGCGCTGTGAACTGTCTTTTGCACGCATGTCATATTTCTATTAAAACTTCCATATTTCAAAACCCCACTACTGACCTGCAGGTTCTTTTTAAATTTATTTATTTTATGCATACAAGTGCTCTAGCCGCACGTGCGACTTGATGGCAGGACCTCTGGAAGAGCAGCAGTGCTCTTAAGCACTGAGCCCATCTTTCCAGACCCACCCCACTTCCTTTTTGTTTTTTAAGAAAAGATTTATTTATTTTATATACCTGCTGTGGCTCTTCCATATTTCTCCCACTACCTGTTTCATGCCTGACTTGTTTCTCTTGTCTTCCTAAAACACTTCAAGGAGAGGGCTGTTCTACTGTTCAAATCTTGTTTCTCAGAAAGGGGTTCTGCTTTTTTTTCCCTCAGAAGAATTTAATTTTTCAAAGCTTGTTAATAAAGCTTGTCTGTCCCCAGCTCTACCTGCTTCTTGCCCCTGGGGCTCTGGGGGCCCTCAACTGTAGCAAGCTCTCTGTGCTTTGATAGCCCTGTACAATGCTGCTTGAACTCCATGCCACAAGGCAACACTGTAAAGAAGCTGAAAGCAGAGAGAATCTCGAGGGATGCAGGCGGGAGTGTTTTATGTGGAATTATCTACACAATCTACACAGGCCCAGGGCATGCATTGCGCTTCAGTGGCACATGGCCATCAACAGTTAGAAAGAATGGAATGTGGATTGGAACTCTGATACACTTCCACAGGGGAGTCTATCTTCTCCTCCCTCACTACACCCCTCTCCTGTTCTCTAAGGCGAGTTTCCGAAGAATGACAACAGTTATCACATTGCCAGAGACAATGCATGAGGACGGTCCCCGGCTTCCTCAGGGTTAACGCCTTACCTCATTCAGTGCACACATCCGAGCAATGGAGCCGATGTTGTTGGTGATGGTGACCAGGGTGGCACGGGCGAGGTCCTCCTTGCTGATGGACTCTCTCTTTTCTTTACTCATCATGTTGCCAAAGCTATGTTGGAAATATCAGGGAGAGTATTCAAAGTCATCCCCAGGCAGGACCCAGGCTTCCACCAAGGCACTCTGGGAAGCAGTACGAATAATCCTGCCCAATGACCTGACTCACATGACCTGACTTTGCTACCACAGTTTATAAGCAGACAGTATTGTACTGTGAATGGCTGTCTGTCCCCTTCTTACCGAGGGACAAAGTAGTATGACTATAAAATGGGGAAGAAACTCTCAATGCCTCTAGATATCCGGACAAGCATGGAACAGGGGAAACTGGCAGTTTTCCAGAACCTTCTTTCAAAGTTGCCTTATCTTAAGCACAGGTAGCAGGTGGTAACCATCTCAGTGCTTCGTTAAGGACAGGAGATAGGGTCTGCGGTCTGAAATGACAGATATTTGCGCCAGGCTGGTAGACCGGCGTTTATTTTTTTTTTTAAGGAGAAAACTAGATGAATGGCCAGGGTGGAGAGGCTGCCTTGTGTGGTGGATTCTCTACAGCTCCTAGCCACTTCGTCTCTACCTTGATGCTACAGCAGATCCTTGAAGGCCAAATCGTTCATAGTCTCCTCCGTAAATGTCCTTCACCAGCTTATCAACATTGGTGCTGTCGCCTTTAGCTGCCATCTCCAGAGCTTCTTCAAAGGTCTCACAACCAGTCAGCAAGCAACACAGGCCTAGGAATGTCCCGCCTCCAAGACTGAAGGACAATAAGGTTGGTTTTTTTAATGTTTGCTTCGTGACATGCCCATCCAAGTCCCCAGCTACATCAAGACTATTAATATGGGTTCAGGAAAATGCGGACAAGCGAAGGAGCGCTTTGTTGGAGAGCAGAGAGGCATCTAAATTAAAGTGCTAGAGTTAAAACAGAACTTGAGGGTAGCCTGGATAAGAAAAGCGGGCAGTGGCTAAGATCGAACATCAAGAAAAACTCGCCCCTAAATTTGAGAATAAAATTGAAAAAGACTCTCACTGATTTCTGTTGTGAGACCTTCAGCTAGCTACTAGCCTATGAAAGGGGTCACATCATGGTGTGTTCAGTTTGGGTGGTCTGAAATCAGCATGTAACCAGAGAAATGGCTGATGTTAGAGCACCATAGGCAGCTAAAAGCAAATACACAGGGAAAGCAAATACACAGCTAAAAGCAAATACACAGGGAAAGAAATGGGGTGTACATAGTTCACAACTATAGAGCCAATCTCCAGGATGGCTGTCCCAAGATGCTCCCTGAAGGCTGCTTTCCCTAACCCTTCTCTACAGTAATCATCTCATCCTACCTCAGAAATTTGGAGAGTAAAACTACTATCTACCTAATGCTATTAGGCTTTGGAAAAGAATATTGCTGATTTTCTAATTACCACTTACTAGTAAGAGTGACAGAGGTCACAAAATGCTTGAAGTATGTTTTAAAAGTTTTCCATTGTTTTGGAGGTTATGGCTCCAAAATAGACCTTGTTGCCAAACTTAGAAACAAATTATAGTAGCTGAGAATAAAATTAATTATATATCAGTATCAAAGCTACCTGGTGTCATGAACACCCAACTCAAGGAAATAACTACTATTAGTGAAGTCATAGCAAAAAAGGGAACTTTAGTTCTCAACTGTTGGCAAATGCTTCTCTCTCTGATATACCATGCATGCATGATAAACAGAGAAGAGTTGGCTGCTCATCTCAATTGGTTCTGAAGCTTCAAGAGCAGCCAATTCTGGAAAAACAATTTGCATTGATGACCAGCTTTTAATTCTAAGGGGGAGAAATTAAGTTGAGATTAAAGAAGAAAATGTATGGCAAATTAAACAAATCATCAATAACTTCTACCAAGAAGACACCAGATTATAGACAGGCACATAGTTTTTAATGTTGCCTTGATTAAAAAAAAATGTGTCATAGTCTCAGACTGTGATTCTAAAAAAAAACAAAACAAAACAAACCCAAGAGTTCCTTTTCAAGGGTCATGTAGGCCTCGCTGTGCACCACCACCAAAACTACCCAAGTTGTGGGTGTGGCATCCTAAGGGAACAAATAAGCACACACACACAAAAAGAAAGTCTACCTTCATCTGTACACCAAACCCTACACAGATGCGTTTAATGAGAACCCTTGCGGGGTTCTGGGCCGCCTACATTTTCTTGTTTGCTCACATTTTTAGCTTTGACAGTTTTGTCCCTGATAATCTTTCTTTGAACATTAGGCATCCACCTTGGTCAAGGCATTCAACCACCAACTCTGGAAGTAGGCAACTCAAGAAACTGGCTGACTTAGAAAGAAGGCAACTCATCAACGGATGTGCTGGTATAACCGGAAAGGGGGTATGGCCAGAAAATGGTGAGTGATTCCAGATAGAAGGCTGGATGGGAAAGCAGGCATGCATCTGTTCAGCTGGCGTGAGAGAAGAACGCAAGGTCACAGAGGAGTCGACAGTCTCTAGCACTTGTCATTTCCCTCAACCTTCTTATTTGGTCAAGAAATTTTCTTGCTCACAAGCAGAGATACGTCTGTCTGCCTTGACAGACAGGCAGAAAAATCTTCAGTATATCAGAGACAAAATATCTAGATAGAAAAAGGCACTGGATATTATTATTCATCAGAGTGAGAAGAAATCTTCAGTTCCACATTTAGTAATTGAATTGGCAATGCCTGGGAGCAATGCCTGGGGATGAGCATACGTGTAGATTCCTGATTGACCAGGAAGATGCACTGTCCCTTCCACGGTAAGTTCCAGTTACTTTCTTCTTACAACAGACCACACACTGTAACATTGCCTGTAAAGTACTAATTTTCACACTGAGGATTGGACTTGTGTCACTAAGGGGAAAAATGATTGTGCCCAATCTAGAAAGTAGTGAAAGTATACAAAAGCCACCCATTTAAAACATGCAGAAGAAAATGGACATCACAAAATGACATGATTTCTTACACTTACTGCTGGAGCTGGGGAGGTGGCTCCCCAAGCTTGGGGTGTGAGTATGGAGGGTGGATCTAAGATGCTCACTGGCCAGCACATCCGGCCATCTAGAACTGGTGAGGTTCCAAAGATCATTGAGAAACCTTGCCATGTATTTGTACCAGCACACACATGTGTGCATGCACACACACATACATAGAAACACACAAATACAGACAAAGGCATAGACACCTATGATCCCAGTACTTGGTGGAAAATTCAAGGCCAGTTTTGGCTGCATAGTGAGACAGTGTCTCAGAGAAAAAAACAAAATCAAAATGAAATCCACCAAAGCAACAACAACAAAATGTTTACAGGGAAAAACCTTATATAAGAAAAAACAAAACAAAAATCTGAAGTTAAACTCTCAGTTTATAAGAGAAGCAACAAAATTGAAAGTTTATACCATTTGCTTACATCAATGGTCTCCACTGAGGTAGCTCAGTGGTAGAGAGCTTGATTAATACCAACGGTCTCCAAAGTGTGTCCCACATGCTAATTCTCACACTGATCCTAAGTGTTTACATCTGACGTTTTCTAACATATAACAAGAGACTTCTGAGCTGGAGGCAGTGGCACACACCCGTAATGCCAGCACTTGGAAGACGGAGGCATTCCTCAATCCCTGGGGTTTATAGACATTACTCCATCTGTGAAGAAGCCACACCCACAATTAGCTCCTTCACAGCTTCTCAAGGTGATATGGATCCTAAAGTGTGCACATTGGAGAGTGCAGCTGTCATTCACCAGCTATTGTGTATGCATCAACAAAAGTGCCAAGGTTTCTAACTGTGGAGAATGTGCACCCTGTTGTTACCTTGAGAGCAGCTTTACCGATTCAGCTGCTCATGGGAGAAGTGTGTTGTTGCAAAACTTATACCTTCGCCAGGACAGCACTCTCTAAAGTAAAACCTGCTTAGCTGGGTGTTCGTACCTTGATATTCCTATGGTCCCAAAGAGACCGTGGGATCAGTGTTCATTCCTGGCCAAGCCAGAGAGCTATTATATTCTCAATGAAAAGATGTTTGCAGTGCCGGGAGTTACAGTGCACATCTTAATCCCAGCACTTAGGAGGAAGAGACAGGCGGATCTCTGGGAGTTTAAGGTCACCCTGGTTTACACAATGAATTCCAAGCCAGCCAGGGTTACATAATTATAATAAATAAAATGAAAATTAGAAAACAGGAACTGTGTGTGCCCGGTAGCAGTTTACAGACATAACAGATACTACACTCTGAACACATACCTACTTCAGTTAGAGCGTGGGTGTGCCCCAGGGTTTCTCAACGGTAGCACTATTGATATTTGGGACTCTACATACCTTTTACTGTTGGAGGAGCTGCCCTCTGCTTTACAGAATTTTATCAGTATCCCTGACTTCAACCCACTACATGTGTGCAGTGCCCCACCTCCAACTGGGAAACCCAGAAATCTCTTCAGACATTGGGTCACATCACCTTCTCTTGGGAACACCGATTCACACAGCTCCACCACACACACACATACACACACACAGATTGAGAGAGAGAGAGAGAGAGAGAGAGAGAGAGAGAGAGAGAGAGAGAGACAGAAGAGTGCTGCAGAGTTTTTAGTCCTGGAAATGTCTCCTTCCCAAAAAAGCAATTACAACACCCTTCATGGCAGAAATGAGGACTCTGAGGTCCAGACAAGTAACGTGCCATGTTCATCTGCCATGAACAATGGTTTCAACACCATATCCTAAGCACACTCTACGTGGTACTCATCCTTTTTAGTTCCTTTAAAAGATGGGTTTTGCTGTCTAGCAAGTTGAAGCAATGCTTCACTCCAAATCAGCTTAGTTTTGCTCTTAGTGGGTTTTCTTAATGACTCTGGACAACAGGGCCTTTTGCCATGTTGAGTTCTCTAGTAACTGGAAACTGAACCCGTCTGCCCTTCATGGGTCTTAGAGTACATGGAAGAAAAAAAAATCCTCCAAGGATTCCAGACACCTTGGGTCGTGGATGTGTTCCTGGGCCCTGCATTCCAAAACTCCTATGAGCTACGCTGACTAGTCACTTCTCGCTTACGCAAAAGGAGAAACCATCCCTTGTACATCTCTTTGCTGGTTACTATGATATACTATGTCAAGCCGTCTTTCCTGACTTGACACCAAGAAGGTCCCCAAAGGAAGTTTCTCTGAAGCATCTCAGACCATCCCAGTTCCTACCCCTGTCCTACTGGGCTTGCAGTCCTGGTGGTCCTATTGGTGGCACTTAGTACACCTACCGGCTGACAAACTAATGTGTGCCATCCTCCTCCTCCAACTGGAGCAGGACCTCCAGAAGACAAAGACCTTGATATTAACCTTTACATGAATCATCTTCTACTCCTCTAATGCCTCATCCAATAAACTGGCCACGGTGGCTCATGCCTAAATTCCCAGCACTCAGGAGACAGAGGCAGGATTTCGAGTCTGAGACTAGCCTGGGCTTATACACAAAGCTCCAGGAGAGTCTTAACTACAAGTTAAGGTCCTGTGTCCAAAAACAAACTAAAACAAATACCCAATAAAACTCCCTTTTTGTTAGTAAAGGAGCCTAACATATTCGATGTAAAAAAAATTTTTACGATACACTATTCATCAGGAAATAGGCATAGTTTAGGCAGAGAGAGGCTCTCCTAGTTGAGAGCAGGTTTACCTGGTCCCAGTAACTCTTTTGTAGTTGTCCTTGGAGTACACAGCTAGAATGCTGACACCTGAGCCCATGTTAACCAGCAACATGGGGTATGGGTTATCAAGGCAGTATGGCTTCTTTTGACACAACTCGGGATTGGTGGGGTTCTCAAAATAGTAACATTCCGGCTTGCCGTTGAAGCCAACCGAGTCAACATAAAGCAGGCCCTGAATCAAGCAGTCCAGTTCGTCCAGTTTGTGCAGTTGCAGGTCCGCAATCTGCAAGAAAACAGAAAAAACCCTGTTAAATGCCACAGACTGTGTTGGGAGGAGCGTAGGTGTGTGTTGTCGGTAAGATTCATGTTCAACGTAAAGAAATACTCTCAGACCCGTAGTTAGGAAGCTGTGTGGACGAACGCGCACTGCCAGGAAGACAGCTGTGCTATGAGAACAAAAGCTTGCCTGGTTCTTGGGAAAGCACCCATTGGCTTATGTGATTGGTGGCCTGCATACGGGCTCTTCTTAGCTCTCAGAACCTGTGAGTGCGGTCTGATTCGGAAAGCAAAATTGCAGATGTGAAACTTGAACAATCGCTGTAGGTCATCTAGATGGATCCTAATTCAAACGACAGGAGACACATCCAGGAAAGGTGTGAAGAGCCCAGAGGATTAAGCCTTTGGAAGAAGAAGGCAGAGATCTGAGCAGTGCACCATTGTTGATGGGATGCCGGCAGCAAAGAGGCACCGGGAAAGGCAAGCCGTGTAATCTCCCAAGGTCTGTACAGAACTGTGTTGTTGCCAATGCTTTGATTGAGAGCCACTGATCTCAAGAACTTTGATGGAAGAAATGCCTGTCATTATAAACCAACAAATATGTGGTAAATTGTTAGGACAGCCAAGAGCGGTTGGTGAATTAGAATATTGAGGAGCTAACAAGAATCCGACACATGCGCGACAGAACATGAGTCCAAAAGTCCTGGTTATGGGTGGAGCAAAACCCCTGGAGCCCAAGAAGTCTCTTCCCACACTTGGCTCTGGAGCAGATGGCCCTGGCTTTGAACTCCAGGTCTAAAGCTTACTTAAGTGAGATGATCTGGGTGAGTTATCTAGCTCCTCAGTGTTGCTGTAAAGACTACATGACAGTCACACACTATCTGCACGGCACTCCCCACATACAGAGGGCTCACTAGCTAGGGTGGCCCAGGAGTGTCCTTTCAGAATTCCTTGTTGGGGATAAAAAAAAAAAGTGCTGAATTATATGTGGTATGAAATCAGAAAGGAGGACTACTTTGGAGAGGAAGCAGGTTAGCCAGAGGCAAGCTAGACATGGGACATTATGGGGAGGGAGGTGGGTAAGAGACAACCCCCTTCTACTTCTTTCAGGGACAGAGTAGGAGGGGGAATAGATCTGGCTGTAGGTGGTCTGAGCAGCTAGTGGCCACTCTATGTCCTCAAAATTTTAACTCCTCTTAACACTACCTCAGGTCCAAGTTGGTGATCATTTTCCCGGGACAAAGTGGGGTCCATTAGCCTTACTCAGTGGTTAAAATAAGAAGCTAGGTAGATTTCCTCAAGCGACACACTAGCAACGAGCCAACATCTCACAGTTGATTCTATTTTCATCTTATTCGCCACTACTATTTATGGGGCCTGCGGGAAAAAAATTCCACCCAAGTGCTAGATAGACTTTGATATTCTGCTAAATGTAATGGAATGCTAGATCTAGGGAGATGGTTGTGGGCAGTAAAGGACCAGAGTTTGGGATCCCCAGAACTCATGTTAAAGACCTAGGCAATCTGGTTTCAAACCTCTAATCCTAGCTCTTGGGAGGGTAGAGACAGGATTTCTGGAGCTTGCTGGCTGGATAGTCTTGCTCAGTCTGTAAGCTGCCAGGTTCAGCAAGAGGCCTGGCCTCAGAAAAGAAGGTGAGGAGCAATAGTACATGCAATACCCCACCCACACATCTCACACACAGACAAGAGCAAGTATACATACACATAAGGCAGCAGCAGCAGCAGCAGCAAGGAAACTTCCTGTCACTCGTCCAAATTTGCTATTCAACACATGGATGGAATCCTAGGTCTGCACAGCAGGATTAGACTAGGTCGCCAGGGCGGTGATCAAACTCTTCCTGACACAGGGGAAAAAGCATTCTAACTGACCCATAGCAACTGCATCCCACACATGTTCCCCCAAACATCGCTTTTAGCAAGTGAAACTTTTAAATGAGATGCACACAGTTTACATTCTAAGAGGGCAATGCTATGGGTATAGAACTGTCCTATCATGGGGCACAGCAGGGCACATGTTATGTCCTCTGTCTCCGTATGTCCGTGGTTCCATAGACTTAAACCGGCAGCTCTGCTCATGGGCTGTCTTGTACTTCAGAAGTGCCTTGGTACCACGCAAAAGGCTGCCCTCAATCATTGTTTAATAAACACTCAGTAAATGAACAAGGAAAGCTGTCACTTCCTGGGTCACCCCAGGTTGAAAAGCAGTGATTTCATCAGCCAATCTTGAAAACATAGGCTAACTTGCTTAAATATTAATCACAGGTTCATCAACAATATTGACAGCCACTCCCAGAGCCAACATCATAAATATGGACATAGGCAATCTGTCTATCTGGATGTCCTGAAACTACCCCCTCCCCAACCCTGGGAAAGTGAGGGGAGAAAAACCTGTCAAAATAAGTGAACTAAACCCAAACAACTTCGATCTGAAACACTGTTACCTTTCTCTTCAGAATGGTTTCCCAAACACCTTGTGAGTAGGAAGAATACATCTCTCCTGTACATCTTCTCAGAAGGAAAAATGTTCTTGGAGCCGAAGGTCATTAAAGCCCCAAACAAAGAGAAGCAAAAAGATCACTTTTGTTGAGCCCTTAGGAAGTAGACCCTAAGGAGGAAGAGGTTCCCAGAAGCGAATGAGTCAAACTGACACAGAGATTTCCAAAGAGGAAACCTGAAATTTAGCTTGTCTGTACACCTGAGTCTACTTTGAGAAAAGTTTAAAACCTATCCTTCCTATTCCAGCTATGAATAAAAGTTTTCCATGGGCCAGACTTTCCTTACACAAGGGGTCAGGACAAAGACGCCATAAGGGAGGGTCAGAAAACAAAAGGAGCCATGGACAGGCTAAAGGCAACAAACTGCTGAGGGCTGTGTCAACAAGACAGTCTGCTCATGTTCCCATGTGGAAATGGAGCACACATCTATTGATGTCTATACATTGGCAACTAACTAGCTAGTTTTTATTTTGCACATTGCAAGCCGAAAAAACGCAACTGTGTTTTATCCTTTATTATTAGCAAGTTTACATATGGTTTTGATACTGGTTTTTTTGTTTTTGTTTGTTTTCCTCGAGAATTCATGTGTTCGAAGCAAGGTTCCCAGAGAGTGATGGGTTGATGAACTTTACCCGAGTGGCACTCAATGGCACATTCTGCACTAGAGTGTATGTCTTCTCTGGAAACTGGAAGCTGACTGAGTTTTCTGAGTCTCTCTTGCCTAGAAAGCCTACTCTACACCCAAGCCATCATTCTGCTGGACTTTTAAAATCTCCTATGGTGGCCTTCGGAAGGCCAAGACAGAAAACCAGTCTACTACAAAAACAGATCCGATCTATAAAAAAGTAAAAAAGTTCAAGGTCCAAAACTAATAAGCCCTTTTTTTTCTTCCTTTAAAGAGAGAACCTAGCCAGGCAGTGGTGGCACACACCTTTAATCCCAGAACTTGGGAGGCAGAGGCAGGTGGAGGTCAAGGCCAGTGTGATCTACAGAGTGAGTTCCAAAATAGTCAGAGCATCAGAAAAACCCTGTCTTGAAAAACAGAAGGAGAGAGAGGGAGAGAGAGAGAGAGAGAGAGAGAAAATATGTCTAGGCTAGAAAACCTTGAATTCCTGAACTTCCTGCCTCACTTCAGAAGTGCTGGACTTGTAGACATGAAACATTACACACCCAACTACAGCTTTCTTTATAAAGCTAGATTGCCCGAGACATTTTATTAGAGTAACCAAAAGCTGACTAATCAAACAGTCACCTAATTACAAGGATATATTCTGATAAACGTATTGTTAGGCAATTTCATCACTGTGCAAATAGCATAGACCACACTTACAGAAACTAAGACAGCATAATATTCCTAACCAATTTCATCTTTGGAACCTCTGCCACATACGCTATTGAACACTGGGATGCAGCACAGGGCTGTCTCTGTTCTAATTCTGATCTTAAATGGGCCTTGAATGATGACAAATTTGTACTATCGGAGACAGCAATCACGCCAGAAGTTTGAACATAGCACAGTAAGCAAGGTGTAGTGCAACTATCGGCTAGCTCTGGGAACAAAAGGATTTACCACTTCTGATGGGATAATTCCTTCTGACCAAGGCCAATTGCAAAATCCCAACCTAACTTCACTAAATGCAGAAAGAGCAAGAGATGTCTGTGTCCAGGAGCCTTTTAGAGCCAGCAAAAGTGTGTTCCAGTTCCTCACTATTTGCAACTCTTAGAATTTTGGAGGTCTGAGTGATTCCGCAAATTCCTAACTCACTCCAGCAAACTGTCCCCAAGTGCACTGTGGCACATCTTGCCCCCATAATAAATGTAGGTTTCCTTTTTATTTTTAATGTGAAAGAATTTTGGTTTGGGATTGGGGCAGAATTTCCAACATTTCTCAGATCACACTAATTTTTTTTTCCATTCTGAACGGCATGGGGGTGCAAAGTGGTCTCAGCACTGATAATTATACAATCAAAGTATAAATCACCTCTGAAAATGTTTACAGACACTCTATGTCCTTCAGTAGAAATATCCAACCATGATTTAAATCACTATGCAACACTAGACAAGTACATCCATCTCAGTATGAAATCTGCTTTCGTTTTAATAAGAGCGAAATTATGTGCATATCAAAGAATTGCTTTTAAAATAAGTTTGTTGGGGCTGGGGAGATGGTTCATTATTTAACAGCGAGCACTACTCTTGTAGAGGACTCAAATGTGGTCCCAGGCATTCACATCCTACAGTACCCTATGGCTTCTGGCTCAGGTTCCTGGGGATTAGATTCCTCTTCAAATCTCCACAGGTACCTGCACTCAGTGCCCATACCCAACCACTTCCACACACAATACACATAATTAAAAATGAAAAATCTTTAAAGATAGAATTGATTTAGACTCAATCCAATCAATGTTTGATTTGAATACCTGTTATACACTTATATACCTGGGATTACATAGAAACTTCTTGGGGGTTGGAGAGATGACTCAGCAGTTAAG